GAGATTTTAATGTCATGTAGGCATGAAACCAGAGTACCATTGACAACTCTAACTTGTTTCAACCTTTCTCGGAATTTTCTCACCAGCAGTGTCTTGGGCCCATGCTTTGTCCTTCAGAGCCTGGACTCTTGTTTTATTAGCCTGACATTTTGTTCTGACCTCTGGTGACAGCTTCTGGCCTCTGGCGTGTACTCTGTTTAGTCGCTTATTTATAACTAATGTTCTTCTGCTCGACTCAGACAAACTCATTGATTTGTGATCTGGTCACACTTGCGTTGCTCTGTCTAATATAACATCTTCTCTTTTTCTCTAGCATCTCTCTTTTTGCCATGACATTTATTCAGCTTCTTGCATTTTCATTTTGCTTTCTCTCCTACTCTGATTACAAATTAAAAATGTCTGCATTATACCAGCGAGGAAAAGCTATTCCAGTTCAGAGAGATCACTGCGAAGCATACCTTACATCTTTAAAGCACTTTATGATTTCATAGAGCATCTTCACACACACAGTATCTTACTTGATCCTCACAACAACCCTGTGAGGTAGGCGTTAACATGTTCATTACACAAATGTGGAAATCAAAATGCTGAGATACACATAGGCATACTATCTAGAGTTCTACTAGCATCTGAATTGTATGAATCTTGGGTCTTAAAGGAAAGAAGAGTTGTGAAAATGTGGTCTGTTGATCAGTAGAGAGAAACCAAAAATATAACATGGAATCCCATAAGAGCTTTTTACAACAAAAGAATATTGGTATTCTTTTTCATGATCAAAATGTTTTTGTTTGAAATGACCAGGTAATATAAGTTTTATTTTTGGTTTAAATGGGTTGGATAAATCGCCCAAGTTCGACTTCACTTCAAAACTTTTATATATATAAAATATACATATATATAAAATATACATATATATGTATATATACACATACACACACTGTAATTTGGAAAATAGGAAGATGAGAAGGTAAACTCAGAATCAATTTTTTTTTTTTTTTTTTTTTTTTGAGACGGAGTCTGGATCTGTCGCCCAGGCTGGAGTGCAGTGGCCGGATCTCAGCTCACTGCAAGCTCCGCCTCCCGGGTTTACGCCATTCTCCTGCCACAGCCTCCGGAGTAGCTGGGACTACAGGTGCCCGCCACCGCGCCCGGCTAGTTTTTTGTATTTTTTGGTAGAGACGGGGTTTCGCCGTGTTAGCCAGGATGGTCTCGATCTCCTGACCTCGTGATCCGCCCATCTTGGCCTCCCAAAGTGCTGGGATTACAGGCTTGAGCCACCGCGCCCGGCCCAGAATCAATTTTTTAAAAATATTCTAAGGAATTAAAAACTCTTTATCTCCTCTGCATACCTATCCAGCCCTATTCTTCCCCCAATATAGCTTAGATGTATCGTAATTGCTTGTTCATTTGTCTACATCTCTCAGGGACAGTTAGCTCTGTAAAACCAGAGACAGTATCTCTCTTATTAGATGTTATGTCCAGCTCATGGAGGTACACAATGGACATGTGAATTAATGAATTAATGAGTGAATGGATTTTCTTCTGACATCCCTATCTCTGGTTGAGAATACTCTTTGAATAGAAAGAACTTGCATATTATCAGTACCTGTGACAGTTCTCCTAGAACCCAATAAATTAAATTGGGTTCTAGACTATAGGTGAATGGGTGTAGTCCAGACTGTGAAACAGAGCGAGACTCTGTCTCTTAAAAAAATAAAAATAAATAAATAAATAAATAAATAAAGCCCTTGACTCACAGGCTTTACTTGGATCAAAAATGCGTTGGAAAAAGACCAGCATTCATTTAAGATTGAGCTGAGTCCGCAGTAAAAATCAAATGAAAAACCAATGGATTTTTCCTATCATTGTATGAGTTTTAGATAGGATACTTAAAATTCACATGCTAGTTGTAGTCTCATTGCACATGAGCAAAGAATGATGAGAAATACTACCAAACCACATATTGGTAATTGAGATATTTAGGACAGAGCCTCACATAAGTCTTACACGATATGGTAGGAATCATTTTGCTTGACTGAAACATCACTCTTCCACGTTAGGGTGAGAACACAGCAGTTCTCCTAGAACTCAATAAACTAAATTGGGTTCAAGACTCAAGGTGAACGGGTGACAGAGAACTGAGGACTGGTTAGAGCAGCCCTCCAGTCCATGCATTAGAGGTGTCTAGGTTGGGAGTGATAGGGGAGAGGAGTGATGGTGGCGTAACTGGAGTAAGTAGAGGTATGAGCGTGGGAGCAGAGACCCAAACAGCACCAGGGAGCAGGAGAGGAGGCCACGTGGAAGTCAGGTACAACACAGGAACCAAGGTCATTTGGAGGAGTCACAAAAGGATCTTGGAAGTCAGTTGTGCAGATGACTTGTCCAGAGGCGAAGGGCCTTTTAATGAGATGGTAGCAGAGGATGTCCCGCCCAACCCACCTGATCTTAAAAGGGCCCCGCCCTCATGTGATCAGTGAGTTGTACTGGTCCTGACACATGTATGAAAGAGGAAATTAATTAGTATTTTTAATCATATTTAAAGAAAGCCTGAAAAAATTTTAAAAATGCATATTAAAAAACTCAATATACATTTTCACCTACCAGAAGTAATTAAAGATGTGGGGAATCAGGTACTTTCATACAGAATAAGTTGGTACAAGCTTTTAGCAGCCATTTACAAGAATTCATCAAATGGTAAAATGAATATAACCTTTGAACCATTGACTCTACTTCTAGCAAATTCCCTATTAAAAAGTATTCCTACAAGATTATATCTTGGAGTGTTGAATATACCATTGCTTATTAAAGTCTGACCAAAGCAAACAAAAATCATTTAGTGTTCAGGACGAGAGGGGTGAATGTCTATATTATGGTAATTACGGTATAGCTGAGTAATAGAATAACGTGTAGCCATTGAGAGAAAAGACAGCCATATTTAATATGGACAGATGACTGACATATTAACATCAGCAAAAAGCAGAATATACCACATTAGATGTTTATGTGTATCATTCTTTTTTAAGCATTATGCAGTTGTTATATACTCTATATGAGGAGGGAGGACCTGGTGGAGAATTCAGAGGCTGTATACAAGCATCGCTCTTACTGCTTCCTCAAAGAAAGTATGTACATAAACTCCAAAATAGCCGTTAAAATATCTGTAACTGAAAACATTTCTGAATATATCTGAAGAAAATGTTCAAAGCATTTGATAACCTTAGGTGATGGAAGACAGTGGGGTGCTATTTGCAGACTAAAAATTAAAAAATAGCTTCTTATTTGCAAAGCTTGACTAGAGTCAATGTTAAGAAGCTCAGAGAAAGCCCCTCAGGAAAAGGAGATAATGAAAAACAAAAGATAAAATAAAGGCAGAGATAAAGATAAACATAAGGATAAGAAGGAGAACTTTTCAGGAGGCGCTTAGCTGAAAGTAAATGGAGTGAAAAGGAGAAAGAAAGAAGTAAGTCGAGTAAAACATATACAGCAGGTGGGCTGGGCACAGTGGCTCATGCCTGTAATCCCAGCACTGTGGGAGTCCGAGGTGGGCAGATCACAAGGTCAGGAGATTGAGACTAGCCTGGCCAACATGGTGAAACTCTGTCTCTACTAAATAACAAAAATTAGCTGGGCCTGGTGGTGTGCACCTATAGTCCCAGCTACTCAGGAGGCTGAGGCAGGAGAAGAATCATTTGAACCCAGGAGGTGGAGGTTGCAGTGAGCCAAGATGGTGCCACTGCACTCCAGCCTGGTGACAGAGTGAGACTCCATCTCAAAACAAACAAACAAACAAACAAAAAACACCAAATGAAAAAAGTATACAGCAGGCAAAAGTGACCACTTTAAAGAACAAATGGATACAATGGAGAAAAGACAGACTAATGTTTCTTTGTTTTAATATAATAATAACAATAATACTCATTAAGTAACACTAAAGTACTCAGAAAAAACACAATACTCTGTTGTACTTTGAAAGCATGATTACACTAATGATTATTCTAATGGCTGGTATTCACCACCACGCCCTACTTTGCCTAAATATGGCATACCTACACAGTACTAGGTTAAAATAATTAGGTTTTGTAAGACACAGAAATTGGTACTGTATATTTCTAGATAATGATTACGACTAAAAACTGCTAGATTTTGGTACATAAAAGGATTTGCCATTATCTGTCTAAAACAGACCCCTGATGATTAACTATGATCACCCTGTTTGTATCAGTTATCCCATGGACACATAGACACACACCCATCACATGTAGTTCCTACTGGGAATACAGAACAGGGAGCCTTTTGATTCTGAGAAGTTAAGTGGGTGTTCCACATTCCTCTTCATAATCCTTTCATCATATCAGTATACACTGAGCCTAGACACAACAATTGACTTACAGCATGGCAAATAGAAGACATCTCATCTAATACTCAGTTTTTAAGGTCCAATTAGCAGATTGTTTATATTGTAACATGAGGTCAGCATTAGATTGAAAAATATTCTTGTGAAATCTATTCTGTTGCAGGTTTAAAGGTTTAGAACATGGAATACCACATTTCAAGTTTTTAGTAAAATAAACAAAACAAAAAGCCCCAGCCATCAGAGTGTTAATTTTTCAGAGTTCTTAAACTGTTCAAATTCTTATATTTAAGGGTTCATTTAGTAAGGAAGGAGGTTGTAATTGTTTCTACTCATAAGCTTGATTTTCCCTCAGTGGATAGAAATTGAGTGGAAAATTGAACAATTTTCTATGTGGAATATTTAGAAAATAGTGTTCATCAGAAAAACAAAAGACAAACGGATAATGAGATTGAAAGAGTTGTATAATAGAATGTATTTGTTTTACCCCAATTAGCATGCTTATTTGTAGAAAATTATGTTTGGTTTCCATACAGTCTCTCTGGATCTGTGCTGAAGTTCCCAACATTTGCCTCAAACCCAGATCTCTAGTATCATAGACTTACTTATTATAAGAATTCACACAGAAAACAAAACACTATATACTTACTTAGTGTGTTTCCACTCCCCTTTTCCCCTTTCTGGCCTTTTGGTCCAGAATTTCCTTGAGAAAAGAAAAAAAAAATATTTGTTTTTAATCAGGGCAATTCACAATGTTTGCTTTAACTGCAGACAGATCGTCACAAGGTAATTAAAATATAAATGTATAAGAACTGACAGATATTGAAATGTTTAATAGCATTGACATTAATAATAATAATAGTTATTACTTAGGAAGCTCCATTCTGAACCCAGTATTGTGATATTTCAAATTTTTACAAGGCCCTAAATGCCCCATTTTCGTAAATCAAGCAAATCTGAAGAATAAGGAGCTTGTTTTGTACTTATTCACCATCCTTTTCTCCTCCTCCTTTGACTGGTCTTACTCACACCCCCAGGAAGTCCAGTGCCTTCCATCAGCTCCCACATCCCATTCTTCTATTCACATTACAATTTATGGTTTTCATTTCTTTAGAGTGTACCATCCCCCAAAACTAGGCTGCCAAGGAATTTCTGGGAGTGTTGAGATTCTTAGTCATGGAGAAGGTAGGAAGATCCTTGGAGCATTCTCATCTCTAGGATGATCACCTTTAGTTTGGAGAAATCTCATCCATTTATACAGGGGTGTGGTACAAATATTTTATACGAGGGTCAGGGCTTCAAATGGATGCGGAAACATTGCTAGATCTTGGTCTTTGCCAAGGGGTTGCTACTTCACCCACTGTTGATTTTTATTTATTTATTTATTTATTTATTTATTTATTTATTTTTAAATTTATTTATTATTATTATACTTTAAGTTGTAGGGTACATGTGCATAACGTGCAGGTTTGTTACATATGTATACTTGTGCCATGTTGCTGTCCCTCACTCAGGCACGCCAATCAGACGTAGAGATTTGGTCTTTTACATAATTCCATACTTCTTGCAGGCTTTGTTCATTTCTTTTTCTTCTTTTTTCTGTTGGTTTCTCTTCTCGCTCATTTCTTCATTTGATCCTCAATTGCTGATACCTTTTCTTCCAGTTGATCGAGTCGGTACTGAAGCTTGTGCATTTGTCACGTATTTCTCGTGTCATGGTTTCATCTCTTTCATTTCGTTTAGGACCTTCTCTGCATTAATACTCTAGCCACTCAATTCTTCCACTTTTTTTCAAGATTTTTAGTTCTTTGTGCTGGGTACGTAATTCTCCTGAGCTCTGAGAAGTTGTGATGACTGGAAGCCTTCTTCTCTCATCTCGTCAAAGTTCATTCTCCGTCCACTTTGATCCGTGTGCTGGCAAAGAGCTGCGCTCCTTTGCCGGGGAGATGTTGCTCTTATTTTTTTGAATTTCCAGCTTTTCTGCCCCTGCTTTTTCCCCATCTTTGTGGTTTTATCTGCCTCTGGTCTTTGATGATGGTGACGTACTGATGGGTTTTGGTGTAGGTTGTCCTTCCGTTGATAGTTTCCTTCTAACAGTCAGGACCCTCAGCTGTAGGTCTGTTGAGATTGCTGAGGTCCACTCCAGACCCTGTTGCCTGGGGTCAGCAGCAGAGGCTGCAGAAAATAGAATATTGCTGAACAGCGAGGTGTACCTGCTGATTCTTGCTTTTGGAGGCTTCCTCTCATGGGTGTACTCCACCCTGTGAGGTTGGTGGGTGTCAGACTGCCCCTAGTGGGGATGTCTCCAGTGAGGCTACTCAGGGTCAGGGACCCACTTGAGCCAGGCAGTCTGTCCCTTCTCAGATCTCAACCCCGTGTTGGGAGTCCACTGCTCTCTTCAAATCTGTTCAGACAAGTCGTTTGCGTCTGCGAGGATTCGCTGCTTTGTTGCTATCCTGTGCCTGTCCCCAGAGTGGAGTCTACAGAGACAGGCAGGTTTCCTTGAGCTGCTGTGAGCTTCCACCAGTTCGAGCTTCTCAGCAGCCTTTGTTTACCTACTTAAGCCTCAGCAATGCGGGGCCCCTCCCCAGTCTCGCTGCTGCCTTGCCGGTAGATCACAGACTGCTGTGCTAGCAATGAGGGAGGCTCCGTGGGTGTGGGACCCTCCCGGCCAGGTGTGGGATATGATCCCTGGTGTGCTTTTCGCTTAAAGCGCAGTATTGGGTGGAGTTACCGATTTTCCAGGTGTTTGTGTCTCAGTTCCCCTGGCTAGGAAAAGGATCTCTTCCCCCTTG